TCACTATGAGTCGAGGCTGACTCAACAACACTTAACAACAACAGCAACAATAATCTTTAAGGAAGATACTAGTATTATCCTCATTTCACAAATGAGGAAACTGAACCACAGTGAGATTTAGTGACTTTTTCAAGTCATAAAGCTAGTAAGTGACCAAGTCAGGATTATTATTTTTTTTTAGCATTGATAGAATTTAAATCAGTGGTGTTTATGTTTTGCACTGTTGTTGTTGTTATGTGCTGTCGAGTCGGACCCGACTCATAGCGACCCCTCCTTGAGTTTCCGAGGCAGTATCACTTTGGAAGTAGATTGTCCCATCTTCCTTCCAAGGAGTATCTGGTGGATTTGAACCTCCAACCTTCTGGTTAGCAGTCAAGTGCCTTAGCCACTATGCTACCAGAGCTCCCAGGTTTAGCACTAGGGGTGCCCATATACCATCTCAAAGGGACTTACCTTCAGTTTTGTTTTGGGGGCTACTCTGATTCTAAACAGGGCCATGGAGAGGATTTTTGCCCAATTTAATTTAATTTCTTGACATAATTTAGCTGTGTGAGCCCTTAAAGTTCAATTCATACTTTCTACTTTACCACTAGAGTGGGGTCTCTAAGCAGTGTAAAATGTTCACTAAATTCCCAAATGCTGAGACCCCAAAATAGGTTATTATGCTACTAAAATGGGTTTCTTTGTCACTTCCAATCGTTTGGGGAATTTCAAACAGTAATAATCTCTCTCAATTGTCTTTTGACCACTTCCATGGCTTTCTTAATCCTGCAAGAGAAGGTCTTTTGAATCCATGCATACTGTCATCTTCCAACCTCATACCATCCTCTGTGCCTGGATTATGGTATTAGCTCAGCTCTCTGCACTGATGTTCCCTGGGGAAGCATCTGTGCTTCCAAGACCTTTTTAAGGCTGACAGTTGCACAGTCCACCTTCTGTTGCACATTCTCCATGAAGGTACTCCCATCTATGAAAGAAGGGACATCTGATTCACACAGTTGTCGGTCAGAGAGTTCTGGCTTACTGGCATCAGATTGAGGGTCCTGACCCAGCCATGATGGATGGGGTTTGCTTGGGGAAAAGTGGGCAACAGAGTTGCCAGATTTATACTAATTGCCAGCTACATCTGCACATGTGGGTTGTCTCCTAATGAGGCCTGTTATTGATAATTCTTGCTCAACACTGCAGTGGTTGGCACATTGTTCTAGGACTGTCAGGACTGAATGAACATTGTAAACCTCAATGGTCTGCCCTAAGGTTAGCTTACCAGCAGCTTTCAGCATTT